CCCTCTAAACCCCGGTGGGAGCATCCTTCCCACGGCTCCGAATGTCCAAGGCGGGGAATTCCTGCTGTGAGGCCCCTTGTCCCAGGATGGGGGTTACCTTCCCTCAGTTCTCTGCTCAAGGTGGGAGATCTTTTCCTGCAGCTGATGCCTTCCCCCAGTTCCGTCCGGGAAGGGCTGGGACCATTCAACAGCCTGCCTTTACCAGGATCGAGAACTTTCCCCACAGGCCTCTCTGCCCATGTTGGGAGATCCTCCCCAGAGCCCTCTCTGGAGGGGCCGAGGCCCTCCTCCGCAGAAGCCCCCTCTCCACCTCCTCAGATCTTCCAGCCGCAGACCCACCTTCGCGAAGCAGTAGCGGCAGCAAGAACAGGCAGGCTGTGCTCCAGATCACTGCCCCGGCATCTGCTTTCCCGGCGGGGCCCATGGCTCTGTCCTGCTCTCTCGGCGGCGTCCCCCTGGGTGTGCCACCTCCCAGCCCGGGTCCTCTTACCTGAGCCTAGGATGAGTAACCTACCCCGGGGCAACCCTGGCCTTGCCCAACCAGGCCAAGTCAGCGTCCGCTGCGGGGCGGGTGGCCCGCCCCTAGGTGCGTCACGCTTAGGGAGAGCGGGCCCCTGCCCTGTGCAGATGCCAAGGAGGGAAAGGGCGGGCGTGGAGGTTCCCCGACATTCCCTGGGAGAAAGTCTGTGTGTGTTTGGAGTGCCGAGGGAAGAAGGCAGGGGCTACTCAACATTCAGCGTTCAATAGCTATGTAACCGGCCTGTACGGTGTGCCCTACTTTGGTGTGGGTGGTGCTAGAGAATAAGACAGAACCAGCACCTGTCCTCCAAGAGCTCCCAGTCTGATGGGGGAGACAGATGTCAATCAAACAATCATTGCAAACTGTTATGCACAATGGAGACGAGGATGATGGAGACAGAGTGTAGGGAGCTGCCAGGAAGGATGGAGTCTAGGAGTGGAACTGGTTTTCTCTGAGGAGGTCGTCTGAGATGTGACCTCAGACACAGGGACTTAGACAGGTGGAACAGGGTGAGGGAGGGGGCTGCATTACAAGAGCACCTGAGAAAGCCCAGCGGTGGGAAGCAGCACTATCCATTCACAGAGGAAAGCTAAGGATCTGGAGCTCAGAGGGCCCAGGACAGAAGGGGGGAAACTGAGGCAGAAGAGTCAGGCCGGGGTAAGCCCAGGGAAAGATTTGGATGAATTGTGAGAAAGGTGGGGAACCTTTGAAAGGGTCTAAAATCAATTGGGGGACATGGTTAAATTTGCTTTTCAATATGATCAATCCAGGAGGTAGTGCAAACATCTGTCAAGAAATAAACGGGGACTGGGGAGGTAGTTCAGTGATGGGGTGCTTGCCTGGCATGCCTGAGCCCCTGGGTTCGATCCCCAGCACCACCACCAAAAAAAAAAAGTGAATGGAAAATAAAGAGTGGTTCATTCACCCAATGGGCTTCTACCCAGGAATGGAAAGATCCAGCAAGAGGTGTTTGCAGCCACATGGATACATCTTTATGCACTTTGCTGAAGGAAAGTTATCTTCAGTGAAAGCAAGGGAAAGGGGCCACTGTGCCCTCCATGTAAAGATAAGATAAAATAAAAGGAAAAGGAGTCTAGAAGAAGCAAGAGAAGACCAGAGGACAGATGAGGCAGCTGGAGGTGGGTGGTTTCCCAGGTAAAAAGAGAGAAACAGCCTGTAAGAGCTGGGAGTCGGCCCCGCACTCTCACAGAGAGGTGGAGGGATCTATTGCACATAAAATCACCTCACAAACACCAGCGTTAGCCAAGGTCACGCTGTGACTGTGAAAGATGCAGACAAAATCAAGACCACTCCATACCCATGTCTGAACCCAGAAACAAATAAGATCATTATGCAAACCACAAAATGACTAAGCATCCTTGTATCCTGCCTAATACAAGGTGACTGTTTATATTACTAATATTAATATAAGCTATGACTTTAACCTTGCTTTGTCTTTCCTGTCTCATAAATAAGATTAATAAAAATACCCAATCCTAGCATTACCCCTTCTTGGTGACAGTATCCAATCCAGAGCAAACTCCACTTCCTGGAACGGTCCTCAAAATAACTACCCATGAGTCCAAATCCTAAAAGGAGTCTTTTCTAATATCCTGTTACTGGTACGCCTCTCAGGTCTCCCATGATGTGCATTCTCCCTCATTGCTGAGAGCAATAAACTCAGCTTGTTCCACCAAAGGTGTGTTCCTGGGGGAGAACGTGGGCAGAGGCAAGGGATGGTACACCTTGGCCTGAAGTGCTAGCGAAGGAAACAGGTGGGAGATCCTCCTTCTAAATGGGGCACGCAATGTCACATTTAATCCTCACTCTAAGTATGGCTTTTAAATGATCATTTACTGAACACCTACTCTGTGCAGAGTACTCTCTATGAATCCGCTCTGACTGCCATTACAGCTCTGCAAAGAGAGGTCTGAGCCCATTTCACAGATGAGGAAACTGAGGGTGAGAAGTGGAGGTTGGAAGTGGAGAACTTGGCTTTGACTCCAGGGCTGTGCTCAAAGGTCTCTGTTGCTGCTTGTTAGGGCTGATCCTAAGATCATATTTTGCAATGGCTCTTAGTTTTGGAGCTGGCCAGATTTGGGTCTGAGTCCCAAATTCTGATTTGCTGTGTGACCTTGGGCAAGTGGTCCCAGTGCCTTGATGTTCATCGACTTCCTGTATAAACAGAAATAATGACAAAAACACACCTAGTCAGCTTTTTCTATGTGCTCGACACTGTTTCACACTCTACCTGCAACAGCCCTATGAGAATTTTTAAAGATAGTCAGTTTACAAATGGGGAAATTGAGGCAGAGAGAGGGTAACCAACTTGCCCAGGGTCACACAGCTAGGAAGTGAGAGAGGCACGGTGGTCAGACTCAGGCAATCTGGCTTGAGGACTAACACTTAGGTATGTGGGCACTCCGGTTACCAACTGTGAAGCTGGCCTCTGTGTGCCCCAGTGTCCTTCTCTGTGAAATGAAGACCTTAACAGCACCTGCCTTATGGCTGCTGTGGAGACTGATGTCAGATGTGGAAAGTGCCTAGTTCTAGGTGCTACAGAAGCATTAGCCACAGCCAAGTGCAGCGGCACACGCCTAAAATTCCAGTGAATTAGGGAGCTGAGGCAGGAGTTTTGCAATTTCGAAGGAACTTAGTGAGACGTTGTCTCAAAATAAAAAATAAAAAGGGCTGGGGAGGTAGCTCAGTGGTAAAATGCCCTGGGTTCATCCCAGTATAAAAAAAAAATAACTATTATTAGTACTAGAAATAGATTGCTGTTGTTATTATTATTAGTTACCAACAGCCCCCCTTCTTGAACTCCAGCTGTGTGCCAGGCAGGGAGCTCATCATTTTAAAGCAACCTCTTCATGAATTCTTAACTAAAGGGTGGAGTAAAGTGCCCATTTCACAGAGGAAGAAACCAAGACCCAGAGAGGTTCAGGTTCACCCAGCAAGGGAAGCAGCAGACTCCCCTCCACTGGGGTGGCCTGCTGTCTGATAGCAAGAAAAATAGCGGCTGTGTCCATTAAGGTCTCTGTTCTCCAGACCCTGTCAGGTCCCCCGGTTCCCGGCAATGACAAGCACCCTTGTCATATAGGTGGGGTCACTTGGCAGCCTCCTGAAGCTCAGAGAGAGAAAGTGAATGACTTCTTATGAGGTCATTCAGCACTGGCTCTGGCCTCCCTGTTCCTAGCCTCAGAATCCCATCCCCACATCTGGTTTGCTATGTGACACTTCACCTCTGTGAAGCTCCAAGGTATCCTTTTTTATAAGAAAGGAAAATGAGGCATTGGGCAAAGTATAAAGTCTAAAATTGAATAGACTGAAATTTTCATCCTGCCTTCTTGCTGTGTGATCCCAAACAATTCAATCTCCGTCTCTGAACTTCAGCTCCTTCCTTTGCTGAATGTGTATTAAAACCCTCCCTCCTGAGGGATGGAGCGAGGACCGATGGGTGGCAGGTAGAGTGATAATACTATTATTGTGTACTTTGGAGCAGGAGGCCCCAGCAGCGTGGGAGAGTTTCAGGGAGGAACCCCAACTGGCCCAACCAGAAGAACTAGCGTCTTGGGAGGGAGTGGGACCCAGGGTGGGGAGTCTTCTCTTGCTCAGGCCTGCCTAGATTCTGGGCCGCTGACCTACACCTGGCCCAGGACCAGAGATCAGAGACCAGAAGGAGTTTTGAATCCACCACCTCCATGTTCTCCTGGCCTCCTTCTCCTCTCCACAGTCGGAATTCCCTGCAAAGACTGTGTAGAATCTGGTTCAAGTAGATATATAGAGGGGTCAAGGTAGAAGCAGCCCCAGCAGCTAGAGGTCACCCAGGGCCTCAGAAGCCTGGGGCCATATCCATGATGGGGTTCGTGACCCCTGGGGCAGGGCAGGCTCTGAGTCTCAGATCTACTCCCTGTGGAACATGCTTTATGGGACTTAAAAGGGAAGGGATGGGCAGGGCCAGTCAGTTGCTTTTTTAGGGGGTGGGGGCTGAACTCAGGGATGAGCTACCATTGAGCTACACTCCCAGCTCTTTTTTTCTTAGTTTGTTTTGAGACAGAGTTTCAAGCTGCCCAGGTTAGACTTGAACTTTCATCCTCCTGCCTCAGATGCTGGGACTCCAGGCAGGCACGGCCACACCGACTCAGCTGCATTAATTTTTGAGTCCAGTGCAAAATGGAAATGTGGCATAGGGATACTTGAGGGGCCAGCATGGACCCTCACAGGGGCTACCTGATTGCTGGGTTCCCCTCCTCACCAGGGGCCACCACCATGCTTCACCCAAGATGCCATGAGACACAAGTACCCACCCGAATCTTGCTGAGGCAGGAGGATTGAGTTCAAAGCCAGCCTCTGCAACTTACTGAGGCCCTAAGCAACTCGGCGAGGCCCTGGCTCTAATAAACTATAAAAAGGGGCTGGGGATGTGGCCCAGGGGTTAAGTGCCCTCGTACCAAAACCAAACAACAAATAAACAAAAAACTCCATTGTTCCACCAAACTTCATTACCAAACACACATTCAAAGATAAAATTATTGAGAATTTTCAGATGATGATCACAGAACACAAAATTTAAGAGCAGGGCTCTTCTGTTGACTAGATTGGTCACATGCTGTGAAGCTGGCTCCATTCTGGGCTGGGTGATGAACTGATCCAAGAATTCAGAAGTCTCACAGCTAGAGGTGGGGTCACCTGGGGTCCTGGAGGACCTGGGGATTTGTATTCCCAGGACTCAGGAACACCAGATCCAGATCCGGGATCCTCAAGAGGGCTGTCTGAGGGGAAGAAAGAGGGACAGCCTAGAGTGCTGGTGGGGGGAGAGGTCTGCGGCAGCCCAGGCACTTGACCCCGCCTCAGGACCAAGGAGAGCTTCTCCTAGGAGGGGATGTGCCAGGCAAGATCTAAAGGTGAAGTCAGCCCAGGAGCCGGCTGCCTTGTTCACAACTCTCCTGTTCCTTAGCATCCATCCTTAACTCATTTATTCAACCATAAGACATTCCTTCAACACCTAGTGTGCAGCACCTGAGCCCTTTGATGTGTGACAAGGACTCAGTAGTGATCAATACAGCCCCAGTCCCTGCCTCCTGGAGCTCCTAGACCAGAGGGAGAGACTGGTTCATCAGCAAGGAAGGCCTAGGGCAGTCAAGGCCACGATGGGATAAGCACCAGGCAGAGTGAGCAGGTTGTGCTGGGAGGCAGAGTGGTCAGGACTGTCGTGGGAATCCCTGAGGAAACCTCTGATTCAGTCACGACAATCAGGGAAATAGAATGGACAAAAAGACCCAGAGGGGGCAGGGACACATTCTTCTCGTTTTCATGGAATGATATTTGCCCTACTGGGGACACAGAGGTCACCAGAACAGCCCTGGCTCTGTCCTCATGGAGTTCCCGGTCCATAAAGAGCACGGGTCATCACGGTGACAAGCCAGTGCTCAGGGATAGGATGGGAACTCAAGAGGAGGCGCCTGACCAGCCAAGGGGGCCAGTGAGGACTTCCTGAAGGAAGGAACATGAACTGGACCTGGAAAATGACGAGCTGGTTAAGGAAGAGCAGGCAGAGGGGAGAGGGGGCCCGGGAGTTCCAGAAACTGCCGACAGCTGTGGGTCAAACCGGAAGCAGAGAAACCCACAAACTAAAACAACAACATTGCAAAAGGCTGAGGACGGGCCTCCCAGCCCCCAGCTCCCGGCCGTGCCCGCAGGGCGAAGGTCTCCATTCCTAAAGCGAGAAACAGCGGGGACGCTTGGCCCCAGAGGTGCCCGTAACTCCGAGGTCCTGCCTAGGGGCTGGCCCCGGTCGCCGGGCTGGACACCACAGCCGCGACCCTGTTTTTCCGCCGTGTTTAATTCGGTTTCACAGGAGCACCAATAAATAGTTTCCTCCCACCCTGCAATCTTCCTCCTGCCCCTGGCAGGGCCTCGGGACTGGCGATCCCGTCGTCGCGGGGCCACCCCAGCTGCACCGAGAGCCGCGACTCAGGCCAGCTGAGCCGCAGCCACCGCAGGGTTCCCGGGAGAGTTCAGAAGGGGCGGGCCCCCGCTTCCGGAATGGGCGGGGCCTTGGAGCACGACTGCGTGTGGGGCGGAGCTTCGCCAGGACGTCCCCGGGTGGGCGGGGCCGCTCAGGGGGCGTGGTTCTCATCCGCGGCTGTGACGATGACGTCCATCCAGATGCGCATGGCTTCGGGACTCGGGGCCACCATGTAGAAAAGGCGTTCGTAGGTTTTGACACAGAAAGTCAGGCGAGGGCTGGGGCTCTGCAACAGGCAGGGTACAGGGTGGTTAGGACAGCTGACTCCGGCCACCGCCCAGCCCCCCTCCAAATCTCGGTCCTCCTGGTTGGTTTGTGGGAAGTTAGTGCCCATTTACGAAGAAACTACTCGCCAAACCCAAGCTGGGTAAATCCCCTGCATCCATTCTGTTTTAAACCCTGAGGGCATGGGTTGAAGCCTGCCCAATATGCAGACGAGAAAACTAGGCTGGAGAAGGGACCTCACTTTTCTGATGTCATACAGCTGGGGTTCTAACTTAAGGAAAGCCAGGGTTGGCTCCTCTCCACAGAGGATTCTAAACACTGCATCAGTTACCAACATTTATTTTTATAAAAGAAAACAAGTCTGACATTTGGTAACTATGGGCAGAAGCCAAGTAATGGCTGTATGATGTCCACGCTCTCAGTGGGCCTCAGTCCTACTCTGCCCTCTTCCTTCATTTATTCCCAGCTTGGCATGAGTTTCCAAGTGTGTGTGTGTGTATGTATGCTCACAATGTCATTGAGATACATCCTTAGACCTTTTTTTTTACTTTGAGACAAAGTCTCACTAAGTTGCCAAGGTGGCCTGTAACTTGGAACTGCTTCATCCTCCTGAGGAGCTGGGATTACTGGCATGCCCCATGGAACCCGGATTTTTGCTTGAAAACTTTTAACTTTTGTCCAAGAAAATTAACAGTGGCTGAAAGCCAGAGTCTGAGGTTTTTTTTTTTTTTTTTTTCCTCTGTACTGAGGATTGAATCTAGGGCATTTTACCACTGAGCTACAATCCCAGCCCTTTAAAAAAAATTTTGGTGAGGTACTGGTGATTGAACTCAGGGGCACTTGACCACTGGGCCACATTACCCCAGCCCCATTTTGTATTTTATTTAGAGCAGGGTCTCACTGAGTTGCTTAGTGCCTTGATGTTGCTAAAGCTGGCTTTGAACTCCTGATCCTCCTGCCTCAGCCTCTCCAGCTGCTGGTATTACAGGGGTGCACCACTGCACCCGGCCTAAAAAATTTTTTTTGAGACAGAGTCTTGCTAAATTGCTGAGGGCCTTACTAAATGGCTGAGGCTGGCCTAGAACTTGACAATCCTCCTTTCTCAGACTCACAAATTGCTAGTATTATAGGCATTTGCCACCATGCAGTATTATAGGCAGTGCCATGAACTGCTGGTCTCTTATGCTGGACCCTGGTATCCTGACAGTAGCAGCTGTGGGTGGCTTTGCCCAGAATGAGCTAGAGACAGGGTAAGGCTCTGACTGAGAGGGCAGGGTGGCACTGAATGGGATTTCACCTTGAAGGCACAGCGTAAGTGGTCATAGTAGACTTCCTCAATGGCCTGGAAGTAGATGACACCTTTGAGCTTGGTCTCTTCCTTGTCTGGTGGAGGAAGGAGAGGGAGAGATAGAGCTAGTGAGAGGCGTGTGTCAGGCCCGGGCACTGGGGCAAGTCTGACACAGGTGAGAGTCTGAAGGTCCAGGAAGTACCACGGCTGGGGAGTGAGTGGGTGTTGATGCTAGATGAGCGGCTGGGAGTCTCCGAGACTGGACAATACTGCACGCATCCTAGGTCCTCGAGAAGGGAAGGAACTCAAGGAAAGCTTGGGACCACCTAAAGACAAAGAGTCCCATTCCTGGAGCTGGGGTAGGGGAGGGCGCTGATATTGCAGGTTCAGACTCTTGGGCACGTTAGGAAAATGGGGTCTGGAACCCAAAACTATACTAAACTGTCATCTGTGTTACTGAGGAGGCCTGTGTGTGTGGATTCTAGGTCACTTAAGGGGAAAGGGGCTGGGGATCTGCACTCCTGGGCTCTGGATAGAAGAGGTGATTACTGGGTATATCAGAGGAAGGAACCAAGGGCCCCAAGTCTTCTACTTTCAGGCAGCGGGCAAGTGGGGGCCTGCACTTCGGAGCCCTGATAGAGGGGGCAGAGGCGACTCCCAGATGCCTGGGGTGGGGGAGGCATCTGGAGTGGGCTTCCAAAGTCCTGGGCCCCAGGGCTCCAGGCCGGGCTCACCTGCATAGTAGGCCAGGCGACGTGCCTGGCGGTCGAAGCAGAACCAGCGCTTCCTCCAGGTCTTGATGCGGCCACCCATCTTCACCAGGGGTCCTCGGCAGCAGCCACAGGACACGCGCACATGAGGACAGCTTTCTGGGTTGTGGCCCCAGCGTTCCAGGTGCTGCCGGAGA